CAAGCCAGGTGTATGTGTGGTGAAACGCGGTGTAGTTTTTTGATGCATTTTAAACTTTTAACATTAGGGCAAGGTTGTAAACGCATGGTAATGAGAAATGCATCCGAGTACCGCTTTGATAATTACAAAGATACTGATATGATATCTGCCAAAGTATATCTGATATCAAAATATTTCCTAAGATGCATGTGTTTGAATAAGCATGATCAATAAAGTTATATTTAATTACAATGCCTTTTAAGGCTTTAACTATTCAAGGCACTTTACTCGAATGCCTCGGGTCCTTCTCCAATCCTTTCAGTCGCTGGAAAATGCTTAAAATCCTGGACAACGTAGAGTACGTCTCTTATTATCAACCTCTCACCAGGAACCATTCAAGGAGGCCACGGCTCCATTGTATTTGATCGCTGACAGTGCATGGATGCAAAACCGCGTCATTATATGGTCCCTGTGCGCCGTGTAGATCCAGTAGTAAAAGATAAATGTTATTTTTCTTAACGTTGGTACCAAAAACTAGCAGTATGCTAGTAAATCGATATGATCGGTGTTTATTTTCGTGCATACTCTTAAAAGTTCATTCTAATATAACAAACATTCAGAAAGCACCAAGAACAGCCACGACTACGGCAGCAAAAAGAACGGGAACATACCTACACCAGACTTGATCCTATCCGCAGAGAGTGTGCAAGATCGTTGTGGAACTTCCTGCAGATTCAACAGTGGTTGATCACTTCTTGAACCATTGAAAGCCACAATAAAAATCCCTTTATCATTTCAGAACTGTTGTTACGAACGATGTTTCAAGGTCAAGGAACCTGATCAGCCCTGTTACGTGGTCCCCTTCATGTGAATTCAAATATAACTATTATAATGAAAGGTTTTAAAAATTATACAATTTTGTCTTTTGACATCGCGATAAAATAAGAAGGCGATGAAATTCATTTTGGATCCACTTACACCTTGTTTTTGAAGTGAGTGCAAAGCAGTTATTCGTGAAAGAACACCGTCGTCAATGCAAGACAAAACAAACACCATATTTCATATGACGGAATATTTCATAATCATTTTAACACATCAGACGTGCACCGGGCAGTGTCAATGAATATCCAAATTTACGGTAGGTAAACGAAATGTTGGCCGTAAGTTCAGAGTCAAAAATCTTTCGAGGAAGTTCGACCGTACGTTTGTACAGTTCGATGGACTCAGGAGGTACAACAGGAACCTGGACGCTAAACAACGAAGCAACGGGCACCTTCGATGGGGTACGCAGAAACAGCACGGTTTCCCTCGTTCGCTCACTGCACAAAACTGGTTCGCACTTGGCGGCCGTCAGCACGAACGCCTCGTACTTTGCCATATCG